CTCTACTTTATATGTGGGATGCCTACCACAGCATGGTTTGCCAAGCAGTGCCATGTCCCCACCCAGGATCCGAACCAACAAACCCCAGGCAGCTGAAGCAGAACATGCGCACTTAACCGCTGCGCCACCAGGCCAGCCCCATCTATGATGATTTTTACAAATTGCACAGAGTACTTTGGAAACAAGAAAGTGAGAAACTTTACCACACAAGAATGTTGTAGGAACACTTCCTGGGAAGAAGATGCCCACAAAGAAGAGGGAGGTTTCTGGCAGTGGAAATAATAAAAGGCATGGGAATATGAAACCGCATGGCAAGTACCTCTTGGTATTTCCAAAATGCAAATTCAGAGGAAGTTCCTCAAAAGTTCAATCTGACCATTTGCTGTTGTATATATTGAAATCTGGATGAAAGACTTAGCATTTACCTGGATATTCTAGCACCAAGGAGACAGCAGGACTAGGGGCAAGTCCAGATGGCACAGACCCCACAAGCAATGGGAATCCAGTGAAGCATTTTATGCAAGTTGCATGACATTTATTGCCTCCTTAAAAGATCACACTTCCTCTGTGAGGACAGTCGATTGGAGTGGAGGAAGAGCAGAAGCAGAGGCTCCACTCAGAAGACTATTGTGGAGGTTTAGGCAAGAGAAGAACTTAAACTAAGGGCAGAGACTATAGAACCAGAATGAAGAAGGTCAATTCAAATAATATTTTAGATGTACAATCCTTCAGACTTGATGGTCGATTAGCTGTGTGAAGTAAGGGAGAAGGAGGTATTGAAAATGAATCCCAGGTTTTATCTTTGAGAAATTGAGGGTATAGCCCATTTATTTAAGCAAAACCCTGAATGAAGAATAGATTTCAAAGGGCAGATCATGAGTTCAGTTTTGAACAGTATAATTTGAGCTGCCTATAGGGTATCCAAATAGAGATGTCAAGTGAGCATTTGGGCATTTATGTGACACTCTCAGGAGAGAAGTCTGGGATAGAGTCTTAAACATACACCTGATATGAGGTCCTTGAAATGAAATGAAATTTCCCAGGGAAACAAGAGAAGAGGGTCCCAGGATGCAGCCATAAGGAACGTTTAAAGATTATGGAGAGAAGGAGAAATCTCCAAAGGAAAATGAGAAGTAGCCAAAGGTGAGAAGAAAATCAGGGAATTTTAGTTTCATAGATGCCAAGGAAAAGCATGTTTATCAAGAAAGAGTCGATAAATTGTACCAAATACTAAGGAGAGTTCAAATAATGTGGGAACTGAACATTGTTCTTTGAAGTCTTTAGGTCCTTGGTGGTTTAGACAAGAGCCAATCAATGACATGGTATGAGTGGCAGTAGATAGTGCTGAAGTAAGGAGTCCATGGGAGAGGAAGAAGTCTGGCTGTGAAGTAGAGAAGCCTACTGGGGCAACAGCTGGAAGGTCTTAGAGGACTCTGGAAGGACGTGGGTGTTTCTTTTTTTAAGATAGAAGAGACTAGAGTATGTTCAAACGCCTGAGAGCCATGAGTGGGTGGTAAATGTTGGAATCCCGTGCACAGCCTTCTCAACTTTCAGTACATAGCTCAACTATCCCTGCTTCTGAGCAACATTTCCTGACACTCCAGCTAAGCTAGGTGATGTTTCCATAGAAAAACATCTGCAGACCTCTACAAAACCACTTATCTTGCTGTAATTATTGGTTTACTTGTTGTTTCACTCACTAAAATAGAATGCACTTAAGTGAGGATTAATTATCTATTACCATGCCAGCCATGTTCAATTCGCTACTCAAACCAGGTCTAGCTCGTGAGTAAAATCAGTTTCATTTATTTCTTAAATACAAATTTCTAATTCTATTTTTTTAAAAGTCTGACCAGAGGGAAAGACTATGGGCTTTTTAAAAGGTCTAGGTAAAGAGATTTCAACCTAGATTTAACTTAACTTATTAAAATATGTTAGAACACAAAAGACTATACAAACTAAAGGATGTCCTCTCTAACTTTCTTGTAAGTACCATATTTTATGCATTTTTGTATCCTCCATTGAATCCAGCAATGCATTGAACATAAACTAAGGGGTTCAATAAATATTTATTGATCAATCTTTCTTTTATCTGCATGAAATTTTGTATACACAAAGCAAAAACATTGCCACTGAATATTGTGGTAAAACAAATTTCTCTTCGGTGTTAGTTGAACAGCTCGTGTCACCCATCAACTTGACAAAAGAATGTTCACACAAAACAGCAGGTAAATGAATCACGGGGAAAAAGCCCATCCATTTGCCACATAAAATAGATGTATTGGTCTCCCTGCAAGATGCAATCTTGTTTAGTTCTCGGGTGATTAAATTGCTGGCTTAAGTTCTAATTGTTTAAATTTGTTGGTGTTAGAAACTGATAATAAAGTTAATCTGCTCTCAGGAACATCTCTGGATGGGCAGAGAAGCTGTATAACAACATAGAAACAAGACCTTTTCTAGTAAAAAAATTTATAAGGCAACCCATCTATTGTTCTAGCTGATGAATCGGTACAGGGTATTTTCCTTCTATGCAAAGTACAGTCATTTTATTTTGTTGCTGCTGCTCTTACTGCCTCACGCACAGATCTACTGAGAGAGCTAAAAAGTCAGAAAAACAGCCAGAACTCCAGTGTTCTGACATTCAATCTCTCTTGACTCAAGAAACAGCAAAGGATGCTATTTCCTTTCCCAGAAATGTGTCACTAAATGTACGTTTCTCTGGCAGGGGTCACTGATTTATCTACATCTGTGTTTTCAGAAGTAAAATATTTTCTTCTTGTGGAAGAAAAATAATTTAATAAGGCAGTTGTTAAGCTATGAACTCAGGACAATGCTTAGTTAAAAACATGGGCCCTATCATTAGGAGAATGATGCTTTCAGGCCTGGGGCAGAGGAAAACCCTTCTCTCAGTCATTTTGACACAGCTAGGGACCCAAAGAACATTGCGAATTGCACCCTTATTTCAAGCTATGAACAAAGATGCTGTGCTGGACTAGGGCATTTCAAGTCTATGTGGCTGCTGGGAAAGATGGCTACAAAATCACATGCGTCCAGCTTTCCTTCCAGGACCCCACTGAAGTGACCAATGGATACTCAAAGTGGAAATGTTGTCTTAGCACTGGACACTGGAAGAGAGCGCCATCGCTCCATACCAGAAATTTTAAAAAGATGGAAAGCTCCTGCGGGATTCAAAATAGTAGGCACTAGTAAGAGGATACTTCAATCACCCTTATTAACTAGAGCGAACATCCAGAGACAAGGGCAGAAAATACGGCCATGGGCAGATTTCTTCTTCCCTGCCTTTGCAGACTAACAGCACAGGACCCCCCAGCCATCACTGGAAGACTCCATGGTTTGCTCCTAGCACAGGTAGAACAGAAGCAGGCATGGAAGTAGGCAGAGGAATACGGGAGACAATCCACAATATGGCGTGGAGACATAGCTCTGTGCTGTGATGCCCCAAAGCACCAGCTCCTTCTCTGATCCTCTCATAGTGGCAATTTACTGGGATATTTTTGTTGATTTTGTTGTTTGCTTCTTCCCTACTTCCTTCTGTCTAGACTCAAAGGACCTCTTTGAAACATTTGGGGAGAACAGGAAGCATACCAATTTCTAACAGAACCCACTCAACTCCTACAAAGATTGGCAAGCATAGGCAACCTTCTGGAAGTAAAAGAAAACTGAAAAAGCATGAGATCTAAAAATTGGGGGAGTATAAATGAAGGGAAGCACTTGGAAAAATTATACTTACTCACTGACTCAATCGGTATTTTTTGAGCACTTACCACTTGCCAGGCATTGTGCTGGGTTAAAATGAACAAAGAAAGTAGCCCTGATACCTTCCTTCTCTTGAGGAGGAAGCTGGCTGCCTCGGATATGACCAGAATCAAATAAACCTTTAGAAAACACCTATTCCATGTATCGGCAAGATTCAGGGACCACTGTGTTGGTAAGGCAGGAAGAGAGACAAATCCAAGATTAAGAATTCATTGAAAATGAAAACAAAACCACTAAGTTAAAGCCACAACGGAGGCAGTTGAAAACAGAAAATCAAATCACTATGAGATAAATTTAAGAAATTCACCCAGAACTCCTGTGAAAGCCCTAAAAAATTTAATCTATGAGAGAAAAAAGGGGAGAGATCCCGGTGCTTCAATCTATGATTAACAGGAATCCCAAAAGGAAAGAAATCAAAAATCAAAGCAATGACAGAAAAAAATTCACTGACCTAAGAAAGGCCTGACTTCTTTGTGAAATTGACAAGCTATTTCAAACATTTCTATGAAAATTCTAAGGACCTAAAAAAGGCACAGAAATGTTGAAAAATAACAAACCTGGAGGATGAACGCTATCAGATTACAAGACTTCCTATGAAGATACAGTATTCAAGACAATATGGTATTGGTGTAAGGATAGACAAATAACACAGTAGGACAGAATTAAGAGTCCAGAATGGACTCACCTGTATATGTTCAAAAGACTTTTGACAAAGGCAAAGAGTGAATTCCATCGAGGAAAGGAAAGTCTTTTCAACAAATAGAGCAGAAATAACTGGCTATTCATATGGAGAAAATGAGTCTAGATCCATATGCACCATATCATACAAAAATACTAATTCGAATAGATTACAGGTCCAAATTTATAAGCTAAAATTATACGGCTTCTACATGAAAACATAGAAGAATTTTTTTTTATTTCTTATTCTTTTTTTATTGTGGTAACAGTGATTTATAAGATTATATAAATTTCAGGTAGACATCGTTATATATTTCAATTTCTGTGTAGATTACAACATGTCCACCACTCAAAGACTAATTACAATCCATCACCACACACATGTGCCTCATCCCCGCTTTCCCCCTCTTCCCTCCCCCCATCCCCTCTGGTAACCACCAATCCAATCTCTGTTTCTGTGTGTTTGTTTGTTGTTGTTTTTATCTTCTACTATGAGTGAGACCACGTGGTATTTGACTTTCTCCCTCTGACTTATTTCACTGGGCATAATGCCTTCAAGGTTCATCCACATTGTCACAAATGGCTGGATTTCATCATTTCTTATGGCTGAGTGGTATTCCACAAGTATATTTGAGGTAAGCATTAACTATAAAAGAAAAAATTGAAAAATTAGTCTCTATCAAAATGTAAAACTACTGCTCATCAAAAGAGCCCATTAAGTAAATGAAGAGGCAAATCACAGACTGGGAGAAAATATTCACAATACGAATATATAGCGAGGTATGTGTATCCAGAATATATAAGAAACTCCTACCATTCAAAATAAAAACACAACAATATAATAAAAAGGGGCAAAAGACTTAGACACCTCACAAATAAGAGACACAAAGGGCAATAAAAAAAGAGAAATTTGTGTAAGACCATTAGACATTAAGGAAACACAAAATAAAACCAAACAGGTACATACTACATACTAGAATGGCTAAAACAGAGTAGTGACAACACCAAATGTCACTGAGCATGTGGAGCAACCAGAATTCTCTTATGTTTCTGATGGGGGTATAAAATGGTACAACTGTTTTAGAAAATAGTTTGCCAGTTTCTTACAATATTAAAAATATACCTTCTCCATTGCCCCTGTATTTTTCCAAGAGAAATAAAAATGTATGTCCATAAAAGACTTGTATAAGAATGTTGATAGAAGTTTGGTTCATATTTGCCCCAAACTGGTAACAATCCAAAATGTTTACCAACAAATTTTTGTATTTCACTATATGTAAATTATACATCAATAAAATAAAATTAAAAGTTATAAAAGTAAGAAAAGCCTGAGCCTGAAAATTCAGTGTGCTTCATGTCCTAAGAAAACTTAATCCACAAAATCATGGTTAGTATAATTTTCAAATTAGAAAAATAAAAAGGAGTCAGATGGCCCAAAATGGAATAAAATCGAGTTGCATACAGTTTTCTTTCAGTAACACTCAATCATAGAACACTATGTAACAGCATCTTTATCATTATAAATTAAAAGGTATCCAAGCCAGACTTCAGTATCCAGCAAAGTTGTCATTAATCTGTGAAGGCAAAAAAATTGACAATCTCAGATATGGAAAGACTCAGAAAGCATACCAGCCACCCAAATATCCTTCCAGAAAACATCTACTTTAAGCCAGTGCAAAAGTGAGGTGAGAACAAGAGATCAAGGATTAACTATGAGAAAATTGTCATAGGAAATAATTAGCTGACATTAAAACTAGAAATACAGTGACACATCTGTCAGTAATTGTTTTAGACACTCACACAAAGCTGATCACCAAAGACAGTGTTTTAAAGTAGAAGGGATAATTTGCATTGAAAAGGAAAGACAGACAGTAAGAGTCTAACTTAAATTAATAAAGACTCAGAAGGACGAAATAAAAGCACCAATCGCCATATTTCCATAGAGGTAAAGTGGTTACAATTTGAAGGTAACCAACAGTTGAACTAAAAACAGTCCACACATCTTCCAAATCACAGATAGGAATCTAAATCATTGTAGAAAATAAACTGTACGACAAAAAATCAGATTTTTTTTTTTAAAAAGGCAAGAAACGACACATACACCTATGAAGAAAATAGGACAAAAAAGGTAAATGACTTCCAGCCCCGTACTGAAGAGATTCTGCGGAGGTTTGGGTGGTTGGTATATACGGGAAGCGTGAGAGGCAGCTCTTACCAAACAGGAGAAACAGAACAGCACACTAATGTCCTTCTTATCACCCCCATGTAATGAAAGAGGCCCTTCCACCACAGAGTGTGGCCTTTCACATTCCTTCCAAGGCTGACCCTTGAAAGCTGTGAATCGACTCTTCAGCCTCAGTTTGAATACCTTTTCCCTGCCTTTACTTCCCTCAAGCGCTCAACTTGTATCTCACTCCCAGAGGACCTTGCCTTCTCTTGGTTATACTGTGGTATAGAGGAAAGAGAATGGGGTTCTGGGATCCAAGGAAATCAGAATTTCAGTCCAAGCCGTATCACTTCCTAGCTTGCCCTAACAGGTATGTCTTCTTTCTGAGTCCAGTTTCCTCTTGCATAAAATTAAGGTATTACATATTCAAAAAAGTATCATGAAAATTAAATGAGTGATACCCCAGTATCATGCCTCAGATATGGCGGTTAATGTATTAACTGAAAATGTTTTGAAAGATAACCATTTCCTCAGACATTTGCTTTTCAACTAAAGGGTTGTGATGTATATCAGGAAGTGTGTTAAGAGATTTCATATGAATTATATTATTTAGTTTAATTACTCAAAAAGGGATGAATTTCTAAAGGTGGGTGAGTCCTAAAATGGGCCAGTTTATGACATTCCTGTGTCCATTTGATAAGGAAGAAGATACAAAGAACCTAGAAACAAGAATTTCGGTTTCAGTTCCTTGGGAACTTGCATTTTCGTAAAGTCATGAAACATAGAATTTCGGCCTTGAGAGTTGTCCAAAGAGCGTAATTATTAAACATGAAAGCAAACCCAGAAGAATGAGTATCTGTGGGTGGAACTCACCTGCTTCTAAGGAAATAAATGTCGTGGACACTTTCTTCCTTTCTTGCCTCCACTATAACTTCCCTACCAATCTTTAGCAGAATGATCCAGCTTTGGAACAATCTAGTGAGTGGGTTTTTTCAAGTGTTTTGTTCATACAGCTCGAGAGAGGAGACTGTAAAGAAAAATACTGCCGTTAGAAATGAAGTGGATTGTCTAAAGGATCTTGACAAGAAGCCACAATATCCCCACACTAACTGGACTTCGAGAAGCTCCTTTCCTTGAATTTACGCCCTTGTGTTAACACTTAAAGTTAGACAGTATTTAGAAAAAGATTCAACACTCCATCGTCCCAATCCCCAAAAGTTATTTAAATAGGGCTCAATGAGCGTGCACGAGGCAGAGCTGAAACGTCCCTTTGATCACAGTGACAGCTCTCTTCACTTCCATGCTTTTCAAAATACATTTGAGCTCTTGCCACTTCCAACATTTGTGATCCGTTGGAAATCTCTCAATCTTACTGTTTTTAGTTTGCTCCTATGTAAAAAAGGAATTACAGTACCTGTACTACTCCCTTCACTGGATTATTTGGGAGGAACATAAAGGATGTGAATGAGAGCACTCGATGGTCTGTAACATGCTGTAGCAAATTGCAAAAATGTCCACATTTTTTTCCTTCTCTGTATTCATTACTCTTTGCTATGCGAATTTGCAGCTCCTCCCATCAAGAAGCAACATTTCCCCACCCCCAGAATCTGGGCTGACCTTGTGGCTTGCTCTGACCAACAGAATGTGTCAGAAATAACATTCGAATGTTTCTGACACAGGCCTCAATAGACCCTGCGTGTGTCTAAGCCCTCTCTTGGGAACCACAAGGGGACCCGTGGAGCAGGGCAGAGCCATCCCAGCCAGGGTCACCCTGGACTAGTTGGGGGTTGGGGGTAGCACGGCCACAGTCCCCACAACCCAGGCCAGCTGAGAGTAGCTGAGCCCAGATCTCAGAGCCACCCAGTAAACTCTGACTCATGAGCTTCATGTGGACTACCAAGCTGATGACAGGACAACTCTAGTAGTTTTCGTATGCTTTTTTTAAAATTGTGGTTTCAATCTCCAAAGGGTTACGTATGAGTCTGTAGAGATTGAGACAGAAAACAACTCATGGGACAGAATCTGAGCTGATTCATTCAATTATAGACCTTAGAAGTCTTCTTGTCAAGCCTCCCACGTAATTTTCCCCAGCCACATCTCCCTGCCCTTAAGAAATTGTTGATAATTCAATTACCTTCTCTGGGGATGAGTGCTTTCCCGCAAAACACCTGAACTCTTCACGTAGCAGGAGCAGGGGTTCTGTATAAAGATTTAACTTATGTTTTTTCCCCTGCTTAGTAATGAAGTTTCAGAAATTCCTTGTAATTACAGGGAAACACATAAGATATTCCCCCAACAAGAGGAGAGTAAATAAGTCTTTGTGTGATTTCTAATGTCTGTACTTTCTCTGATAAATAGATCAATTGTTAGAGAAGAGAAATAGGATGAGCATCACTTAGGACTAAGGGTGTTCAGGAATGGCATGGTGGTGTCCAGGGAGGAAGATACGAAAGGTGAAAAGGGGTGGTGCCCTGGGTCTAAGAAGCAGCAGACAACCTGAGCCCTGTTCTGGCTCCCATCTAGGGAATGAGAGGTGTCCAGGCCACGAACAATGAGAAGGACTGCCGTGAAAAAGATGATACTGCAGTGACCCCAGCTGAGGCCAGCCCAGAAGACCCATCCTTGCACCTCATTTAGAAAGGTGAGTCACCCTGTCAGGCTTCTACTCTGTCCATCACTCTGATTGTCTGGTCACTATCCTCCAACACACCCCATCATCATCTTTCAGCACTGGAGAATACGCTGCTCCCCAGCAACACTCCTGGACACCAAAGAGGGAGGAAAGGAGGTGTACATCAGAGCTGCTGCTCCACCTGGTAGACGGTGAGAGAGTCCAGGACCTTGGGGCCAGACTCAGGACACTGGTGTACTCCAAACCAAGGGAAGAGAGGAGTGAAAACCATGATTATACTCTAACACATGGAACTGGAGAGTACCCCCACCTCCAGCGCCATAAGGTCCTCCAGGCCATTCTGGGCAACGCTGAATCCTATGACGAACACAACTTGCACACAGTCTGGTCTCCCCACCACATATTCAATCCTTCCAGATGACAGACTTTAAAATACTTGATAGCAGCTATCATGCCCCTTCTGTCTTCTTTCCTCTGGGCTGTTTCCCTTGATCCTTCAATTAGAAAATAAGTATGCCTTCAATTAGAAATTAGAAAATGAAACCATTCGAACAAAATTCCCAGCAGCCTCACTGAAGCAGGGAACTCCATCTGTAACCATCAGTGTAAACATTAGATATGGAAATCCCTTTGATACTGTCTACCAGACAGCCATCCACACAGTAGGCCCTGTTAAATAAAGTCATCAGCATTGGAGTGATGAGAATTGCACAAATTAAAAAGCTGCACCCAAGTGAAAAAAGGATTGCTTTGTTTTGCAAGTAAACTGTCCAGCATTGTTCATAATGGTTTTCTAGGTACTGGTCTCATTGTCCATGAAATTGTAAGCTCTTTGAGGGAAGAGTCAGCATTTCCTATCACTTCCCAATGACCATCCTGCCCAGACGTGGGCACACAGTTTGCACTTAGGATCTCCTTAACAAGATGTTTGTGGATTGAATGTGTGGTGGGTCTTCACTGCATCATCTTTAAAGCCAAAAGATAGAGGTGTCTACCAAAGCCTGCACTGGGGTACACAATCTGTGCTAAGAAACTGGCATGCTGAACATGGAACTGCGAGATGGAAGAAATTTACTTTCTGCAGAACATCTCAACTCACAGACTTCCACACAGCCCTAATGAAACCACACCCCTTATTTGATTGACACTGGGATTATACATCTGAAAATGTGAATGAACTTTAATTGAAGACAGTCTTAGAATCTTCCAAAAGGATCTATATGATCAAAGGGATAACAGTTTTAGAGAAGTCTGACATGGCTTAATGCAAGAGCAAATGAGGAAGAAACAGTTTGAATAAGTTCAAATGTAGTTACCGATCACGAAACTAACAACCATTTGTATCTTTATTAATTCAATAGATATTTATTTAATCCCTGCTGTGTGCCAAGGCACTAACCTGAAACCTTGAATAAGATTAAGCAACTATTGCTAATTATTGCTAGTTATAATCAGTCAACTATTGGTGTAATAATTCTGCATAAGAAAAATAAACTCAAAATCTTAGTTACATACAATGGCAAATACATATTTGTCTTGCTCACAGGTCTGCAGATTGCTAGGGGGTCAGCAGAGTTCTGCTGGGTTTGAATCCAGGCCATGTTGAATTCTGGTTTAAGCCAAGTGTTTCCATTCTGGGGCCAGAAGCTACTCATAGTATGATCTTTACACAGAAGGCTGCAAGAGGGCAAGTGGAAACACACCATGTCTCTCAAGGCCTATTCTGGAAATGGTTACATTGACCACTTTCCATTGGCCAAAGAAAGGCCTATGGTCAAGCCCAACATCAAGGCTACCTACTCCAGTGGGAAGAGTTAAAGGCTCTCATTGGAAAAGACATGGATATATATTTCTCATACAGGGAGGAAGCGAAGAATTAGGAAAAACAATCCAACCTAACATAAAGGCATGCCTGTGCTCATGAGCTCAAGTGAGGGGGCAAAAAAAATAAACAAATAATTCTTAAGTTCAGTGGGAACTCACTAAATAATTTTTTCATGGAGTTTCATGTACTGGATATATTTTAAGATCATATTTGCCGCTGTTGGGAGAACAAGGGGCAAGAGTGGAAGCATTCTTACATTCTTGTAAGACCAGTCAGGAAGCTATAACAATTGTCTGAGTGAGAGATAACGGAGGCTGGGCTACGATGATGACAGAGGTGATCAAGAGTGTGCCCAGAGTTAAGGTATATTTTAGCAGACTGGGTCATTATTAGATGCTGTAGGTGGGGAAGAGGCATGTTTGAAGAATGCCACATCAGTGTCTGGCTTGAATAATAAAGGAAAATGATGCAAAATGGGAAAACATGAAGGGGAGAGTGTCAATGTCCATGGTTAATGCCTCCAATTCATTTCTTCAAAATGATTCATCTAAGCCAGTAGTCATAACCAGCTCCACCCCCCGCGAGTCCGTGGGAAATGTGAGGTGGAGAAGTTTAGGGTTTTCCTGGTGACTGAGCTCAGGATCCCAGGATGATAAACATACTGAGATGCATGGGACAGTCTCACAAAACAAAGATTTGAATTGTCTACCTAAAGCATCAATACACTCCTGCTGAGAAATCCTGGCCTGGGCCTATTGGGGTAATCCATTTGGCTCACCAGTGATTGTGTTAGGAATAGACCTGTGACTCCATTCTGACCAGGGAGACATGAGAAGAAGTATGTCTGTTCACTCTGTTGCACTAACCAACAGACTTCCCTCATTTGATCCATTTTAAAGACACACAGAGGTTAGACATCAGGATGTCAGCTTACTGTCCCTTCTCATCTATTTTAGTAATCGTTAAAATAAAATGAAGCCTTGGTCAATAGCTGTATTAAGCAAGAAGTGTAAATTTGTGTACAAGGGTACATAGGGCTACGCTCTTCTAAACTCTAGAAATCATGAATCTAAAATACTCTTCCACACAGCACTATATTTAAAGGCTTTGTATTGACACCTAGTAGATAACATTAATGTAAAAAAGCAAGATTGGTGTAGCCAACTGCAGAGAAAATAGGAAGCCGACTCTCCTGACAGCAATGAATTAGACAAATAGCCTTTACGTCATTCAACCAAGGCAAGAAACGCGGTAGAAGAGAACTGTCGATCAGCAGCTCAGGTGGTCCCGCAAAGACAGTGAGCGTGATGGTCAGCCTTAACAGGGGTGAAAAAGGAGATCATCGCTCCATTTGTCTTCAAAAATTTCTTTTTCTCTCTTGAACATATAATATTCTAGTGCCTTTACTGCACAAATATATTGGACTCCTTTTTATCCTCACTCAAGAATGTGCTTAAAGAGGGTGTGCTATTAGAGGCAGACAGGCAGCAATAAGTAGTAATAGGGAGAATGCTCTTTTAGTCATTCAAAATGTTGAAGAAACTATGACTATGCTTTAAGATTATGTTGACTTGGGCAATGTTTTTCAGCTACGAAGGAATGTATCTAAAATAGTGGAGTACATTTAAAGGTTTTCAGATGTAATTATACCTTGGAGCGGTTATACAAAGAAAAGTCTCAACTTCCATATATGGGGAGAGATACCTTTTAGAAAGATATTTGGGAAATACACTTCAGGTGCTGCATTGTGTACAGTGCAGCTAGGACGTGACGCAGCTCATGAGTATAACGTTATCCCGAATCGGCTTCACCACTGCGTATTCCCCCTATGCCCTCCCTCAAAGAGACCATAGAAGGCCCAATAAAGCGTCAGTCAATAGGATAAGACAAATTAGCACTGGCAAAATGCCTGCTTGTCATCATCTCAGAAGCAAATTTAAAGCTTCAGGATACTTACTTTCTTCACATTTTGATAAATTCCTTTCAGATCATATTTTCTACCACTTTTGGCCACGTCTAATGTTGTCTTTAAGCTTCAAGAATAGAATTTGAATTCTGTTATTGCAAATTGATTAATCTTTTCCACACTTACTGGAAGAATATAAGCATCTACTCTGAGTATAAGCAAAGTATATATTATTCTATATCACTGATGTAATCTAGAATATAGGAATGGAGTCCACTATTATAACTTTATTCTGGAACCAACAGCTATACAGCAGGTATAGATATATGCATTCAAATTAAAAATCTGTCCTACGAATTCTTTGGTTTAGAAATTTCTAAATGTGAATTTGAGTGATTGAATAATATCTAATATGTAAGAGAGAATTTAAAAATTCTTAGGGAGTAGGTTCAAAACTAAGGCTCTATAATTATAAGAAGATAGAGAACAAACCTGTAAGTGTTTAATTCTTTGACTGGATTAAAAAATATGTGATAGAAGTCAAATACTTAACAGTTTTCGACCTTATTTAAAAAATAAGATATGGTGAAACATTTTAACTTATTCAAAGAATTCCCGGTGTTGGCTACTTAAAACTTTTTTCTCTTCATATTCATTCATTCATTCAACATTTATGGAATGCCTACCAGAGGCTAGGACCTGAGAGAAGTTTCAAAAATACTAATTGAATGGCATTTCCATAATCATAAAATATGTATATACATATATATTATACTATTCTTATATTCTTATGCCTATTCATAAAAAAATAAAACCTGTATTGATCTAATTAGCCAGCTGGGGCAATGAGCAAGATAATAGTGTCTGGCTTAGCACTCTCCCTACCTAGGAGAGAAAGCTTTGGAGCTGCCATCTCCCTGGGGCGGACGCTGTCACACACGCCTTTCTGGGATGGATTAGGAAAGCCAGAGCAGCTGGGACCCATTTTGAAATATAAAACTGGCATGAAAAGCTTTACATGAATCACTAAAACTCTAATTTCAGATACACTGGAAGAGCCTAAGAAAGGGATGCGTTAGTCTCGGTGTTAAACCAAAGAGAATTGATTAGATCACAAAATGAGCAGGTTTAACTTCTGATTCAGTAAGCCTAGGAAAATGACAAAGATCTGGACCCTATCGATCAGCCCTCTTGCCTATCGTGGTCAGAGGGTGGTAAGATTTAAAAGTTATAAAAGAAATGTTACAGCCTGCACTAAAATAATCAAGACCATGATTTGTGTTAAAATCTTTCACTTTCCAAAATTTTAGACAACTTTTGGTATATTCCATTCTTGAAATTTAAAAGATCAGCTGCTTTTTGCTGAGGCAAGGTAGTATTGGCCACTTTCTGTTCCTTTATCATCTTCTACTGGGAGCGCCCCTTCATTGGTTAAGTGTATTTTCTCTTTAACATCTTCACGAACAGGAAGAGTCTAATGTCGACTTACAACACATTCTTAAGTTCTATTCTTAGATATAAGAGTATATTGGGCCATTGTTTAAATCTGAATTACAGTCAATTGAGAATGTAAGAGTCCTAGGAGTTTAGAGGGGGTCAAATTAAAGTGAAAACAAAAAGACAATCCTATTTTATTTTTCATCTCTCTATAAAGAATATCAGACGATGATAGTGATGATTAAGTTTCCAGACATGTGAAAGCATGGCACCTATGAAACTGCACTTTGATATTTATGAAGTATCAATTTCTAAAACAAAGAGAGAAATCCAGCAATTATCACAAGCACTTTCTACCACTACATTGCAGAAGTGTACAGAATTAGTAAAAATAGAGAGAAACAGTAGATGACTTAATAGTTGACACCCAGAAATGTTTGCTCATCAATCCTTTGCTGATTCTAGTCAAACATAGCCTTTTACTGAGCCTGGCTCTAGATTTCACATACAGGAATGCCACAGAGCTACAGCCACCATCCAAAGGTCACAACTTCAGCTTCTGAATAAAAGCCATTTCTGAATTCCACACACTCCACTTTCTTAGAGAAATTACTATTCCAGTGTTATTCTCTGATGGTAGTTACATGTAATTCCTGTATTCTCTAAATTTTTTTCATCTAAGAAACCAAAGAAGCATTCTCACTCAGGAAGGAAATGGAATTATTGGTGTTGGAGGTTCTGGAAAGCCTACTCTCTCATCCTTTCCCCCGTGTGTTCTGATGAATTTGAAAAACAGATAAAAGAGACTAAATGGGCTTCATTGAGCGGATTTAGCCCTCTCTGGTATTGGCTACATTAGAGCAAACGTAAAGCTCCCTGATACTCACCCTACTCTTTCCCCCAATTTAGACCTTGGGGACTACCTTGGGGAAGGTTGAAGCTACAGAGCTCTCTTACCCAAATACCTGTGTGGAGCGTCAGAGACTATAATACCTCCTGTGGAATGCCAGAGAGAAGAAATGCCTGATGATGTCACCCACTGATTACCACAAGCCAATGACTGACTTCCTGACCCCGTCTCACCAATCAATATGTCATTCTCCTTCATATGGAAAGAAATCAGTGAGGGGTGGAGAGAAAATCAGGACATTTTCCCTTCGATATTGCCTTCCTTTCAGGGTTTAGAGCACAGGTCCTGTCAGGAAAATCAAAGAAAAGATGACTAAGTGTTCCTCCCGAAACTAATTTTGTGAAAATTTATTATAACCTTTTCATCTTATGTTCTTAAAACAAGTAACTCTATTGTTTTGCCACATTACTTTCCTGAATTAATAGATAACACAAGATTGTTTGGCCAGTGAAAGTCACTAACAATTATGACAATAACATCAGCCATCTGTTCTATTGACTCGAGAGAAAGTCATCATAGGATGTCCAAATTTTATCAAGTAATCACCTCACATGTGCATTTGAAAATTTGTCTGGTGAGAATCTTTGTTTAGTGGCAGCTGAGATGATCCTAGGGGATACTGGCCCACATAGCAATGCTGGAGGAAGCTCTCTTAGAAGATTCTTTCTGACATGCATGCACCCACCACATGCCAGGCAGTCTTCAAAGCACTGGGATGACAGGCAGGGCCCTGTTCTCGAAGACTTCCATTCTGGAAGGCGGTTATAGTCAATAAGCAAAAGAAATCCCGCGCAAGATCATTTTCTGTGGTGATGGGCAGAATGAAAACACTAGAGCCGCTCAATGGAATAATTGGTAGAGATCACCAGCTGGAGACAGGAGAAGGGAGGACTGTGGATTAAGTGGTCAAGAAAGGCTCTCTGAGAAGAAACCATTTGGGCTGAGACCTAAATTAGAAGGATCCAGCCAGACTTGGAGGGAAATGTGTTAAATGTCATAAGACTAAAAATGCCTAAAAATGAACAGCTACAGTTTCAGGTTTATAGAATCCAGCCTATTTTATTCCAAGAAAATTACTCTGTAAGATGTTACCACACAGCTAAACAGCTTACTCCTTTGTAAATAACACATGGTAAACCAGTGGGAATTGGCATATGACTCATGATGAACCCCGCAGTGTTGATCCATGATGAGGGATGAATGAACATATACCCGGTGCCTACTAAATGCCAGGCATGGATAATGGAGGTTTTATATTCTGCTCACTTGGAACAAATACATCCATTGTTCATTCAGTGAATTTGTATCAAGTTCTCCTATGTGCCAGGCACTGTACTTGGCATTAGGTTCAATTATGAACCTGACACAGTACTCCCTGCAGGGCGCTTATGCTCGGTTGAGGGAAGTTGACAATTAAACAAGCGCTTGTGACGTAGATTGATCAGTGTCATTGAAAGAATAAACCCGAGGTGCTGCAGGTGCGCACAGAGCTGCTCTGAGGCTACTTGGGGAAGGGGGGTCAAGAAAAGCTTCCTAGAGGAAGTGACACTAAACAAGATTTTACTCACACACAGGAAACAGCCAGGACATGTGCCTGGAAGTGGCCTGGAGAAGAAAGAGGTTTAGGGAATCAGCAGTTCTTCGCCATATGTGGAGCCCTGGAAGGGAAGAAAAATTGTCAAGAGTTAGACTGCAGCTCAGCAGCAGCACACCACACAGAGCCCTGGATGCTGAGCTAAGGAATTTGGACTTTCCGCCGAGGCAACAGGGAACCACTAGAGAGCTTTAAGTTGGGGAATGACATGACAGATTCGTGAGTCTTAAAAAGTCGCTGCAGCTTCACTGTGGAGATTCCAAGGTGGGGAGGGAGAAAAGCAGGTTGAACACAAAGTGAACATAATCCATTCAAGTAGTATGCTATGAAAACTTGCAAGCCTCCGTTGTGCGGGATTTCCACCCAAATCTCACGGCACATTGCTTTAAATGAGCTTAAACCTTACTCATAAACTTCACTCACATTTTTAACACTCAGGTCGTGAATTTAATCACATAAGTTTGCATTGTATTACTTCACGTATTCTGAAATGGGAGTTTTTCCCTGAGTCAGCATGGCCATACTGCTGAGCTCAGGAAAACATGTCAATCCTTATGCCCCTCAAAACTGCCATTAACATGCATGGCATTAGATTTTTCTAGGTGATGTGAAATGAAATCATGACTCTGCAATGTATTCTAATCAGCTACTCTATTAACTGTTTTCAAATGGTAATCAGCTGAGCTCCAAATGAACAGCTACATACTCAGCTTGCCCCACGAATTCTATGAATGCATTTACCATTGCACGTTATAATTACATTACTTTTTCAGAAGTCCTTTACAGCAATTGAACAAATGAAGAAAAATTCTAGGATTCTTGTGTGACAGTGCAATTAAATAATATGAACTGCAAGACCCCACTTCATATTCTAAAATTTAGTTATGATGTATTTTCTGAGAAATGGTATTTTTGGAACAAAAATAGACATTGTTCAGGTTAAGGCTTTATAACTTTAAATTATGAACCACCAAGCAAAATCACCAGATAATGCATTATGTTCTGTTATATGCCGAATTAAATACATCTCTAACAAAGAGAAATCCTCTCTCTTTTAATAGGGAGGCAGGTGGAAATTTCTGCAGCAGAAAGACCGCTTGGGAAAAGGTAATTAATACATTTACAACACTTCTGTGTGCCAGGCCCTGCCTGAAGGACTGTATGTATCTTGACCTATGTCATGTATTTCATCTGAACACTTGATAAACGAACCCATCTTCCTCTAGTCAGAATCCTTCATTTTAGGTTGTTAGGTAGTTATGAAAGGGACTACAGTGGTATTTCAATTATCCATTGCTGCCTAACACACCACCCCAAAACCTGCTTAAAATGACAACCACCATCAATTCTCTCTCATGATTCTGTGAGTTGACCAGGCAGTTCTGCCTCTGCAGTGATGGCTGGGGCGCTGGGGTAGCTGCAAGGCCTCCCATGGCCGCGTTCACATGGCAGGGAGTTAGTGTTGGCTGATAGCTGGGAGCTCAGTTGGGAGTGTTGGCCAGAGGCCAGATTCTTCTCTCCAGAGACATCTCTACATGGTTGCTTAGACTTCCTCACAGCATAGCCATTGGGATTCAAGAAGGAGCATTCTAACAGTGAGCATTCCAAGAGTATAAACCCACCAGGTAAACACTTATTAAGGTAGGAACCCCTGCTCTAATCCCCGAAATGTGTGAATATGCTATCTCACATGGCAACAGAGACTGTGCAGATGCGATTAAGGTGAAATGGGAAGATTAGCCTGGATTATCAAAAGAGGCCTAATGTAATCACAGGAGTCCTTATAAGAGGGAGGCAGGAGTAAGAGAGCTTTGAAGATGTTATACTGATGGCTCTGAAATTGGAGGAAGGGGCCACGAGCCAAGGAATGCAGGCAGCCTCCAGAAGCTGGTCAAGGCCAAGGGAAGAGCTTCTCCCTTAGAGCCTCCACAAGGAACGTGGTTATGCTGACGTCTTGATTCTAGCCCAGGGAGTCTTAATATAAGACTATATTAACTATAAGATAATGTTTGTTTTGTTTTAAGCCAGTAAATCTATATAATTTGTTAAAACAACAATAGGGACTAATGCATTTATCAAGCTTCTGTTTTTATCCCATTTGTTAATATCCCATAGCTAAAGCCCAGAGTCATTGGACTAAATTTATGGAGGCATGGTTCATCATAATAGTCTCCCACCAAGGCAACAATCCAACGCAAGTAACATTTCCTTCAAAATAGTTCCTCTGATTTAGTTTTCTGTTGCTGCTGTAACAAATTACCGCAAACTTACTGACTTGACACAAATTCGTTATCTCAGTTTCTGTGGGGCGTGAGTCTGACAGGGGTTTTACCAGGCTAAAATCAAGGTACTGGCAGGGCTGCATTCCTTAGCCGAGGCTCTGGGGAAGAATCCAGCTTCAAGCCCACTCATGCTGTTGGCTGAATTCAGCTCCTTGGGGTTGTGAGACTGAGGTCCCTGTTTCCCTGAAGGCTGTCCACCAGGGGCCAGCCTTAACTGTGAAGCCTTCTCTCCAGGCCTCACAGTGACCCCTTGGATTTCAGAACCACCAACAGTGCATTGAATCCATCTCACACATGGAATTCTCTGACCTTTCCTTCTGCTGCATTTGGAGAAAGTTCTCTGGTTTAAGGAATCGCATGACTAGATTGGGCCTACCCATCTTACTCTCCCTATTTTAAAGTCTACCATCTCAACGACTCCTGCAAGGCTCCTTTTGCCATGTAACATAACATTACCAACACTCCAGGGATTAGGGCATGGAGCTCTCCAGTGGCCATTATTCCGCCCATCACAGTCCACAACCAGAATCTTCGTGCCAAGGAGAGGTTAGAAGTGCGGCACCAATCTACTCTGCGCCTGCCTAGGAATAAACCCTCAAAGGTGCAGTTAGCAAGATAAACTCATCATCATTCTGCTGTTCACTGGTTCCAACAGCATCTCCAGGAGACAATTTCTTTGAGATGTTACTCCTCCAAAATTGGTCACAGTTGGCTATTTCATAACCAGCTCTGCTCCATCGTAAAGCGCAAGGCTTCTCAAAAGAGCAACAATGCTATTTTTTGCAATAACCACATAAACTGCCTTCCTTGACAATGAAAGAGAACAACTCAAAAATTAATTAATTCAAAATTATCTGATGATATCATATGGTGGACTGTGTGCCTACAGTCGTGGCTGCATCTTCACAGCCCTCTTTTCTCTTCAAAGATTTTGGACATTTTGTGTAGTATTCTGGATCTACTAGTGGTGTCTTCATTGCTAAATGCAATGTAATTAGAGCATTTGGGGTGAACGTAATTATCCTATGTCATAAACATGAGAAGTGTCTCTTACTTATAGATACATAGACACTAAGAAGTAGGTAGAGGCAACAACTATACTTTTTTAAAAATCCCAATGCCTTACTGATTCACTTCAAAATATTAATTTCTTAAATATTGTATTGGACACTAAAGGACAATCTTGAGAAAACAAAGCCATGAGAATTGAGTTAAGGAATGTTGAGATAGCCAAAGTTACTGAGGAGAATTTTGTCCAACATTTTTATTAATAATTATTCAGCTAGAAGAGAAATATATGAATGAGCTGGTAGAAGAAAGGGGCCCTTGACGCTCACTCAAAACTTCTTCTCCATGATGCAAATTTAAATTCTGTTCCCCCAGGGGAAATTTCAGAGAGCCGCCCCTACCACCACCAACAAAGAAGATGCTTGGGGAATATTAGAACCACGTGGGAAGAGTAAGTCTGGAAGCTCTTGGTCCAGCTTCATACAGTGAGGTGGAAGGGAGCCTCCTTCTGGTCAATTAAAAAGCAGAGAATCTTGTTTTTCACTGAAAGTTCTTCTTCGCCTATTTTACAGCTGAAATTGCAACTAGTTTCTCTTATTGAAAAAGATTCTGCAGTATTCATACAAGAAGAGCAAAGAAAACAATCAACTGAATGACTCCGAGGAAATGTGCCAAACATACACACACTTCAGGATCAAGGCAATTCTGCACCATTTCAATAACCGGGTAATCATTTTACACAACAAACTCCAAAGAAAACATAGCCTACACATTAAATATGTTCTCAAATTATGGGTAGATTTAGGACAAGTCTTATAAGCTAAAGAACTTGAAAGTCAATTTTTAAAATGATCTTTTCTTAAATTAAAATATTTGTTAATTTTATGTAGTCTAGATGTAGACTTCTAACATTTTTTTAAAGCATGGAACACTGCACGAATTTGTGTTATCTTTGTGCAAGGACCATGATAATCCCCAATGTATCATTCCAATTTTAGTATACGTGCTGCTGAAGCAAGCACTAGACTTCTAGCATTTATTATAATAAATGTACTTTTAAAGCATAAATCCTGACTTGTATCTTTTAATTTACAAATACATCAATTTGACTAATGGAGTCATTTTTCTGTCCAATCATGTTAAATTACACCCATAGCCAAATCCCTGAAGTAAATTATGGGCTCATTCAGGAAACATCCTGTCAAGAGAGTGTTGGGCACACAGTAGGCAGTCAATAAATACCGAAAATAATAAACGTATTCTATCAAGGCATACGTAGTAGATTTTCAACCACGTGGAAACTCTTCAATTGAAATGTTAACAACAATCCGGTTAGTCCCACATCCAACATACCTGAGAGTTGGTTCCCCTTCCATTAATTGGAATGCATTCTGGAGAGAGACATTAATTAATATTCATCAAGCTTACTACGAAATTAAAGCAGTGCTATCACCAATGTACTGAGAGCATATAATAATGATTTTAGAGCCACAGCATTCCTTGTTCCCTCCGGTTATGCTGATATTTAACTGCATGCCATAATGTAGAAATAATCATTCACCAAATGGTGAGGGCAGGTGGCGCCAGGCGCACCCTTTTGTGTACTCTGGGGAGGCTCGCTGAATTCCCATTCACAGATACTGATGGCAGGCTTCCCACATACAAGGCACTATGCTAGGCTCTGGGTGCACAGAAGAGAAAGGGGAAGTGGTTCTGTCCTCAAGAGCTTATAATCTAGTAGACAGAAATTTAAACTCATAAGTGCAACAAAGTGTTATAAGTGCTGAGACAGAAAGAACGAAAACACAAATGAAGAAAACTGTCAGTTCAGAGTTAGGCCTAGGGGAGAAAAGCTGGAAAAAGCTCTCCTGTTATACATGAGCACATAGGTTGCCTGACCTGAAGGCATCTGAACGTCCCCGCCTTCCTGTGAGAGCTCTAGGAAACGCTAAGGAAAACTAAATGCAGGAAAAGAAAGCCCAGGACAACTTGAGAATGCCTCACAGTCAAGCACCGTTTGCAACAGGCTATTACTTAACAACCAGGCACAGGGGCCTGCCGGGTGGTGCAGGGGTTAAGTGCACACGTTCCGCTTCGGTGGCCCGGGGTTCACCGGCTGGATCCCAGGTGCGAACGTGGCACTGCTTGTCACGCCATGCTGTGGCAGGCGTCCCACATATAAAGTAGAGGACGATGGGCATGGATGTTAGCTCAGGGCCAGTCTTCCTCAGTAAAAAGAGGAGGATTGGCAGCAGTTAGCTCAGGGCTAATCTTCCTCAAAAAAAAAACCAACCAGGTACAAACTTTCAGATGCTAGATGGCAAGTACCAGAACGTAACTTCCTACTGGGTGCCGCACATGCCACCTATCCACACACGATACACTGCCTTACACAGGTGTATTTTTCCACTTTGGTTTTTCAATCACTAGCCTTAGGAATAATCAAGGGCCTTGAACCCTGACTCACCAGGGCCAAAGCCACCCCGACTTCCCCAACATGTTCTCCAAAGAGATTTGCATGTCCCGTGTAAACAGGATCGCTAGAGGTATGTTCCAAAATTCCACATTATGTGAGTTCAAGGGACCAGTAAGCTCCCTCTCTCACCGCTGCCTCCCTGCAGGCCACCCTCAGCCAGCTGTGACATTATCAGGCGGGCACGTCATCCCCAGTAAGGACTGTGCCTCCTACTTCTTTCCTGGTATCCTCCACAGCTCCTGCCACAGTGCCTCCCAGGTGGCTCATTAGACAATTGATAATAATGGTGATGATAACAACAAACAGAGAAACTCTCCCAAGATGACCAGAATGATAAAATTCCAAGGTTTTGCCATGTGTTAGAAGTTCTATGAAAACTGTGGTTGGTGGAGAGGATAGTCTATTAGACATGTTCTATGCATTTTATATCCCCATTCTGTCTCCCCACAGCATCATAAATCACAGAAGGTAGGCTGACATGTATGTTCTTTATTGATGCTGCCCACGAAGAATTACAGAGGCTCCTGTTGGTACCAAATAAGGCATTTTATCTACTTAATATCAGTCACCATATGGAGCAGCTTCTACCTGAGGCCTGCCTGGGTGAAGGCCAAGTCATTGTGAGACCTTATGTCCAATTTATCCAGGGTTCTGATTTACCAAGTGATGTCCCAAAGTGCTGCCATAGATGCCAGACCCGTGTTGGTAGAAGCAGGCACGAGAACCCTCTCCTGTGTCCAGTAAGCAGAGGGAAGTCTTTGATCTCACTAAGAGGCCACAACTCTGTTGCTTATACCCCCTTCTGGACCCATAAAGCTCCTGTTTGTTGCAAGAGCATTTATTTGGAAAATTAAAGGATAAAGGGCTTGTTTGCTTTAAGAAAATCAAAGAATAAGCTCAATAATTTATGGGAAGTGTTATTTGGCTACTGGGTCAGTGGTTAATTCTGCATATGTTCTCATAAATATAACCACAGTGTTTCATGTGAGGATCATCTTGTAAACTAAATGTACTGGCAGAGGAAAATCAACTTGAGGCACCCAAGACGTGACAGAAATTGGCAGCTACGGAAAACACCTGTAATGCTTTCCTCCCCAGCCTCACAGATGACCACCAGAACAGGACTACCCTTGCTCAACACTCCTCTCTCAAGTGGTTAGCTTTTCTGTCGACCGATTACCTCCTGGGTAAATTCCAGTATCAAGAAGGATAAGCTGCAATGTTCATTGCAATTTTATTCACAACAGCCAAGACTTGGAAAAAACCTAAGTGCCCATCAAGGGAGAATGGATAAAGAAGATGTGGTAATATATACACAATGGAATACTACTCAGCCATAAAAATGATGAAATCTTGCCATTTGTGACACCATGAATACACCTAGAGGGTACAATGCTAAGCAAAATAAGTCAGATGGAGAAAGACAAATACTATATGGTTTCACTCATATGTGGAAGATAAACAAGCAAATAACTGCCTAGATACAGAGAACAGATTGGTGGTTACCAGAGAGGAAGGGGTGGGGGGAGGGCAAAAGGGGTAAAGGGGCACATATGAATGGTGACAGATGGAAACTAGATTTTTGGTGATGAATATGATGTAGTCTATCCAGAAGCCAAAATATAACGATGTACACCTGAAATTTGTAAAATGTTATAAACCAATGTGACCTCAGTAAAAATAAATAAAAAGAAATTGGAAGCACTAGCAGCACAAATTAAATAGAGAAATTCTCGGGGGTTTGTGTGTGGGTTTGCACACATATGCATGCACGAGCATGTGCGAGCGTTCACATTTTTTGTTTTCAAGTAGCCAAGGCCTACAGATTAAAGTGTACTTGTGGGAACTTTAGAGCCGTGTGTGTTTATTTTAGCCCTACCAGGGATGGGAAATCAACAGGGTAGACAAACAACCCCATGCGAAGCTGCTGCTATCATGATGCAAGTTGGTATTGTCATTAAATTGACTCGAGACAGGCTCTTTGCTTTTCATGAGCAATCCCGGACATGGGGGTTCTCTAGTGTGGGACTCGAAGGGTTTGATACGACTTCACGGCTACAGCTACCACTTTGCTTAGGACCTCCCAGGCGACATTGTCCTAGGTCAACTGCCTCCAACCCCTTTCCATCCTGCCGAAATCTTACAGGACGTATATTCTCACCCCTATTTTACAGATCAGGAAACTGAACCTCAGAGGAGTTAGTAGAAAATATGATATGTGAAACCAAATTAGTCTGACTCCGGTCAAACTCTTTCCGCTGTACACACAGCCACTGCGTTCATATACCTCCAGCATTATAGCCAGCCAACCAACATTATTTTCTAAGAACCCCTGATTTCTGGATGGTTAACAATCTGGAGAGACAAATGCTACACTTACGGCTTCCCAGCTAGAAGCAGACACTGTTACTTGCCTACTCTGCTGAGCTAGGACCAGATGGCATCCCTCCTCCCACCCGAGATCTCAAGAGGGTAGGAACAAGGTTTGTGGAACACAATGGAAATAAAGCTTCTCTCCTGAACAAAAATCAGATGTGCATCATTCATTCATTCGTTCGTTTGTTCATTCATTCAACAAATCTTGAGTGAGGGATTTCTCCATGTCAAAACACTCACACTATTCGGGAGACAGATTAGCAAAAGAGCAATTTCTATGCAGAGTGATAAAGCTACTATTGAAACAAGCATAAAATTATTGGACACAGAGCAAGGACAACCACTTGCCATGCAGTGTTTAGAACAACTTCCATGCATCCAGGCAGAGTCCTAAAGAACAAATTATGATGAGCCTGGCCACTGAAGGGCAGCAGCCAGGAGATTTCCAGGCAGAAAGGACAAGATGTACACAGACCTAGAAGTGAGAGAGAACCTACGTGTTCCAAAACCTGCAAGCTCTCCCGTGTTGCTAGAGGGGGAAAGGGAAGAAAATGACACTGGACAATACAAACAGGACAGATCATGAAGGTCCTGGGGAGAAATGTTAGGACTTCATCCTGGAGGGAATGTGTTCCCTAAACAGAAAGTTATAATTTAGATCTCTTAGGCATCCAAGTAGAGTGTCAGGGAGCCAGACCATTGCTCACCTGACTCATCTTGGGAGCAAAACACTATACAGGTAAGGTTTGATCCATGTGCTCCTCATTCAGCCCTAAAGAGTGATGGTGCTGTTTCCCTCGTTGGTAGTATGGAATTCTCCAGCAGTCTCGTGAACACACATGAGAGAACTGAGGGGACCAAAGAGGGCAGGGCTGGTGCCGAAGAGGATGTCGTTCATTCACTCATTGGTGCACTCACTTGTTCAGTCATTTATTTAACCAGGGAAATACAGCAATAATGGTTTAAAGCAAGGATTGGCATCTGTTAAGTCGAATGTGACCCACCACTTGCTTTTGTAAATAAAGTTTTATTGGAACTCAGCTATGTGTGTTCATTTATGTATTGGCAATGATTGCTTTCACACCAAGAGCGGAGGTGGGTTGTTGTAACGCAGATAGTATGGACCACAAAGCTGGAAATATTTACTCTCTGGCCCTTTACAAAAAACAA